TTCATCTGTACTCATTAGCAAACGAGAGGGAAATTTTTTGTAGTTCCCTTTTTTTTTTTCTCAAAAACATAAAAATAAATACTTTGACATTTTTAAATCTGAGTCTAGTCTTAGTCTCAGGTAGTCTACATTAGATGCTCATATAAACTGCATGAGGATCCCCCCAACTGCATTCAATGGTTTCTCTCCTTTTTTTTTTTTTTTCTATTTTCAAAATCCATATGGACCAAATATACAATCTAGGGATATCAATACATTTAAACTATAAGTACATTTTTTAGTAGTTTTAAAGGTTTTTCCCCTCTTTTTCTTGAGATTCTTTTAAGTAAATAAAAAATCTTATTAATTTTGAGTACTATAATTTACTATAAATTATAGAGAGAGCTATGTTGAGCTACTTTTATCTTATGAATCTTATACTTAACATATGCATTTCCCTTCTCTTGATTTGAATTTAATTAAAACAAAAAAAAAATCATTAAGCTAAAAAAAAATCTGTAGCTTAAATTTAGATATGATAAAAAAAAAAATCTTTAAGGTATGATAGTTGGCCTTATTTCTGTTTGATATTCATGGATAGTTGAAGCATTAACTGTTTTGAAAATTTGTAATGTATTTCATTTCATATTACTTAAGGGATGAGGAGACTAATGTTTCAAAATCATCAAGTTCAGCTAGAAGCAAGAAAACAGTGAAGAAGACAGTGATGGAGCACTGTTACGAACCTGAAATGGTGGAGGTGAGCCAGTCATTTATATAGAATGGGCAACCTGGTTTGATGCATGTGTTGGAATTTGCATTTATGTACATTTTTCGTTGTTGGATTTTGAGTTGCTTCTGAAAACATCTAATCTTAGATTATTCTGGCAGATTGGACAAAGTCTCCAATCAGGGAATGTGCTTAGTCTCTTGTCAATTCATTCTGAGTGTTTTGTCTTGAGCTTCATCCAATTAACATTACTGTTTGCTGAACTGATTTTGATATTTGTTTGGCATACCTTGCATAAAAGAAGGCTGAGCAATACATTTGAATTTTAAAGATCAAAATGGTTATAAAGCATAACTATTTTAAAGATTTATCCTCATATTTTATGCTTACTAAAAGGAGGGAAAAAACTCCTCAACATTAGAAATGTGTCCAACTAAAAGCATTTTCAAAGTTCTAGTTCAGCTATTGGTAAATAATCACGAGCTTTCTAGAAAATTCTTATGCATTTAAATATGAATACATGCATTCATGCATGCATGCCCGGCAACCCAGTATTTTTATTCCTAATGGTGCTATTTCTTTGCTTATGGATAATACCTGCCTTATTGTTTTAACCAGAATTTGATAATGTAAATATGCTGCAGGCCTATCGAGAAAGCGTGTTGAAAGCATTTAAGAGGATCCTTGAAGATGGCATCTTCAGTTTTGTCATTTGTATGGTTCTTCAAATGAAATTTTAGGCTAATGAAGGCAGTGATTTTTATCGTTGCTCTAATATTGTGGTCATTTTATTTGTTAAGGTGGATTAGAAGATGTTTGTTGTTGAAAATTTTCATTTTTACTAATGTGGTTACATGTTTCCTTTTGGTCTGATGATTTTGAGGTTATGCCTACTTTTTATTTCAAATTCTTCTATTCTCAGTGGTAGCATAAAGGCAGATACATCTCTCCTCCAGATTGTGGGTTAATGTAACTGCATTAGTTAAATATGATTTAGAAAACTGAGGATGTCCTTTCTCATTATTCTTTCCAAAGGAGAGAAAAAAATGGGTCAAGGGAATGCACAGGCTTCATTAGCTTAAAAAATTAAAGATTCTCCCAGTTATGCTGGTTTGTTACAGCATTTAACCACATAAGTGCTCTAGTTTCATTGGCATTTAAGTGTTCATGCAGTGCCCATGCACTGCTTACATTTTCAACTATCTACAGATGCAGTTTTTGTTCGGCAATTGATCCTTTTCTTGCTGGAATGTGTGCTTCGTCTTAGTGGATGACCACAATCTGCGGGTACCAGATTTTGCTCCATTTCGGGCAGTTGGAAAGGTATACTCTCAATTCTTTCTAGCACCCTCTCTGCAAGAGTATTCTTTGCGAATACTTTAAAGGTGTGCTGGTCTTCATTTGGGTCTGCTTGTACTTTGGTAGCATAAACATTAATATGCTGCATTTGATGTTGAGTTTTCTTCCTTTTATTTTAAATTTAATTAAGCTATAGTTTTTCAAAAATTTTGTTTTACTTGTAAATTCTTCTCTATTTTCGGTCCCAATTTATTAATGTAAATTTTTATTTGTTCTCTATCAAGGCAAAGATGATTTTATGCTGAATATTTACTTTAACTCATGGAAAAAAGTGTTAGCCCTCAAGGGGAGGGTAATGTGATGTTATCATCCAATTGCAGGAATGAAGAAATTGGGTTGAAAGATAAAAAGGCCTGGGCTATAAAGGACCATGAATTTATTGAGGGTTGTAACCCTTATACTGCTATAAATGCATATGCCCCAAGACCCAAGATTGAACTGCCCAATTTTGATGGACATAACCCAGAGGGATGTAAACTTTTCCCTTAAATCTCAATATTCCATTAGCAAATGAATAATGAGAATCATTATCAGAGCATACTGAGAGCATTGTAATTTTCTCCTGAGCCACGGCATCTTCCTCATAACTCTGTTCAATAACTCAAAGAAGCCATGAGTACAGTCCTGTCCTAGCGTTATCAGATTTTTCTAAGCCTTTTTGTTTGGAGACTGATGCTTGTGCAACTGGTATAGGAGCAGTCTTATCTCAAGAAGGAAGACCTGTAGCTTACTTAAGTAGTGCCCACCTTAGAGAGAAATATGTATATAAGTAACCCTCTTGGATTTGAACTTGGAAATCTTTGGCTCTGCCATTCATTCATTCTTTTTATTTTTAATGTTGTTTTCTTGTCCCCTTAGCTTGGAGTTTCTGGGTTGTGTTGGAAAATGCAAAACAGTTGATGTTTTCATGAAAACTGTATGTCTTGTTACCCAAAAATCATCATTCTTTATAACTTTCATTTCTATGGTAAAGAAATAATTTAGTTGAAAAATGAAAACACAAATAAGGAAAAGAAAAATAGGAAGCAATGGGCCATGCCTGTAATACATGTAATTCAAGGCCATTGGTGTCATCCATAAAAGGTGTAACCCTTATTGTGCAGCATTGATCATAAATCTTTCTTGTTAGTTTTAATAAGTTAGCCTTTTTGCTATTAGTTAACAGTATACTTTTATGCTTTTGAATAGACTGTTGACATATTATTGACATATTTTGAAATGTAGCCGATGACATATTGTGCCTTCTACCAAAACTGAATATGTGGATGCTTACAGTATTATCTAGAATTTCATTCTAGTATACTGAATTATTACTGATATTCCTTGTATCTATATGTTGCCCTGTTGGACTTGGGGTGGGGAATAGCCTACATTATGGTCCTGGTATTTTTCTTGCCAATGCTAGTAGTTTGCAGTCTAGTTCTAAGTTAAGGCCTTCCTTATTTTCTCAGTATGAGCATGAACACATGTGCTTATGCCAGTTTTATTTCTCAATGGCTTATTATTATTATTGTTGATGGAATTTTTTGTTTATGGTGGAATGATAGAACACATTCAAATACTTACTTTACATTTTGCATTTGCTTTGGTTTTCTGTATGTGAATGGTTTAGATAATACAATGAATTTGCTAAGAGGTCGCTTTTAGGTTGTTGGAGGTTTTCCCCTTTGTTGCTTACCATTCTTTGTTCTGACAACTCCATTATTGTTGTGTTTGTTATCAAAAAATTGGAACAATGTTTTGATATGCAAAAATGATTTTTTGAATCAGTTGTCACAATCTTTGCAGAAATTGAATCTCTTCTGAAAATTAATTTTCATCTATCCATAAAGAAAGTTCTCCAGGACTTCAAATCCTAATCTGACTGTTTGCATATATAATTTCTGAACTTGATCCTTACAGGTGCAGCATAAGACTACTAATCACGAACCTTTTGTGCATGTTATTTGATTGATGTTTTGTGCATTATGTTTTTAATGATAATGACCACTAAGTTATGTTAGTTGGTTCCTTTTCCGTTTATTAGTGTTCTTTTGATATTTTTCCTTGCTTTCTTTTCAGAGATCGGGTTATGAAGTTTATGTATTGGAAGCTACATACAAGGATCCTGTGGTGAGTGTGTGCATAATTTACTTGCTTTGTGAGATTTTTGTCACATTTGCCTGATATGTGTGTGGTGTTTATTTTCTAATGTTGCACTTGACAAGTTGCTGATGGTTTTTGTATAAACTGAACAAGATTTCTTTGTTACTCAATTGTGCCATAAAGCTGATAATTATGTTGAATTTCAGGGCTGTGCAGCTAGGAATGTGCATGGTTTTACCCTAGATGATATCCAACAGATGGCAGGACAATGGAAAGAAGCTCCATCATTATACTTGCAACTGGACATCAGGGTTTGTTGCTAAGCTTTCACTTTTAACTTTACAGTTAAAACTTTGGAAATTCAAGTAGAAAACAAACATCATAGTTTGGAAATTTTAAACATAAATTTAGGCTGGTGTCTTCAGTAAGTTAAAAGAATTTGGAAAAGTCAGTTACTGTGATATAATACCAACAAAAAATATTGTAAATTCTTCTAAATGCTGTATTTTGCTGGTATGACAGTCATTATCTCATGGAGATGACCTGAAGAAGAGGTGGTATTCAGGAGGTAATTGACTTTTATATCATGCAAATTCTGACAGATAGCTTAATTCTATTTGTGCCTTCTACTTACAAGATGAAAAAGTTTGAGCTTTTTCATGACATATATATATGGGTAATTATTTTTGCCCATTTTTTATTTCTTCCCTTACTCACTTTTTATTCCAAATGTTTCTTTGTAAGTGATATTTGTTCCTGCCTAAACATAAACTTACGCTTAACCTTATTTTATGAAAGGGAAGATAGGGTGTAGTTGGAAAGTCACTTGGAAAATCTCTTTATAGTAACATTGTGTTGACACTGCAACAGTTATGCTATTTTCCTTCACTCTACTAGGTAGTAACACTGACTAATTAACATGTGATTTTGGAGTTGGAATTTGAACTAGTTTAACTTGACTTGGTTTCTCTTTTTTATATCAGCCAGGTTGACATGGACATGAAAGATGGAGATCATGAAGAAGGATTATCAGGACAGCAGGAACAAAAGCCTTAGAAAATGAACTTACCAGCTGTCAGAGATCTTGTACCTGAAGGTATATTTCATCTTTTTGCTTTGTGTGCCTTCTGAATCAGTTTGCATTCAACATCGCGTTGTAGTTGTCACTTCACCCTCCGTTAGGAATTACATGCATATACATGTACATTATCACACACTGACTTATTTATTCATACATGAAGTACACATTTACATAAGAATATTATCTGTTTGTTTTAGGTTTTATGACATCCTATTTTCTTGATTTTTAGTTGCATCTCAGATGAGTTCTGATACTTTGGGTGTGCAGCCTGAAGCATGAACTATAATGTATTTTGTTTCTCAAATCCAAGAGTTTTCGAGTTGCAGTTTTTCACATGTTTGTTAGTGGTACTTGCATATATTTTCTAGTTTTGAGGTTATGCTGTCTGGGATAATGGTTGCTGTATTTTTTTAATATGTCTTCCGTGCTCATTACTTTGAAATGTGGATTTGGGTTTCAGATTAATTAAGGAAGAGAGATTTCCATTACTGAATTAGCACCTCATATTTTAATCTTGCTTTACATCCAAGACTTCTTTATTTATAGGATTGGCCTGGGAAGTTCTCACTTTATTGATTGGTTGTATCATAAGGGTTGAGGATTCTGGAATGCCAATAATTCCTGATTTATGTGCTAAGTATATAACTCTGTGCTGTTCGATTGAAGCTACTAATGGCAAAATTCCTGAACAATTTGAAGCTAAACTAGGAGGGAAATGCTAGAAACCTAAGGGCAGGAGATAGTGAGATGAAAATTGGGGTACTTAGTTACAGTACTCACAAAGTTTATGCGCATTATTTATTATTGATGTAATGCTATAGGCAGGTGTCATTTGTTTTTCTTCTTTTAGCTTTCTTTGGAGGCCAGAGGTTTTTCAAGACTAAAGCTATTTGTAAAGTTTTATAGAATGCTAGCTTTTACTTTATGCGCAAATTGCACAGACACTATATTGCATGTGGTGTTATCAATTAAAAAAATGAAATAGTATTTATATTTTGGTTAAAGCTAACAAAGTTTCAATTAGACTATAAGTTTTTCATATAGATGATTTTTTATCAAATAAAAAGTAGTGATTTGGTTAGACCATTGCACAACTTTAGTTGAAAGTAGTTCAAGTAAGCTCTATTAGTAATAAATGAATAAGGATTATAAATGAATTTGAACCTTCACAAAAGTTTATTTCCATGTGATAAATTAATATTGATGAGTAAAAAACATAAAATGTAGTGATGCAATTAAACTATTATATTACTTGAAGGTAATTCAACTAATTTTAACTCTTACCATAAAATTTTATTAGAAGTAAAAGTGATGAGGGTAAATTTGTCTTCAAAATAGGTTCCACACGACATTTTCATATGGTATTGATATTCTGTGTTTTCTGTTTGACACTTTATATTATTCGATTTACCTATTACTTCAAGGTTTAGATTCTTTAAAAGATGAAAAGAGATGGGATGCTGAGGGGGACCATCCTGTGGAGGTAAAAGAATTAAGTAGGAGTAAATGGTCAATTCATTTGGATGAAGATGAACGTGAAGGATCAGAAACTATTAAGGAAAATTTGAATGCTCTCTCCGGGTTGATCCAAGCATGTGGGAAGAAAGGAAAATCTGTGCATTGGAGTGACAAGGTATTCCTTGTATCGCACAACATATCTTTTTAGTATTGTAAATGCCAGTGTTCTGTGTTTGGCCCTAATGTTTTAAGTTCCTGCCTCCCCCCATTTAATTTACTGAGGAAACAATTGCTGAACATGTTTTTCTGTATGGTAGACATTCACGCAGGTCTGCATATATATTTGTATACAGATGAATGTGGCTGTTGTGATATTTCAGCCAATGTAGGTATACTGTTGATTAGGGAGCCATATAACGTATCCTTGTCCACCTACAAAGCATCGACACAGACACTAGATATGGGTACAACATGATACAAACACCGTGACTCAACATATGTTAAAAAATTGGGATACAACATGGCAATAAAAAATATATTAAATATATTTTAATTAATTTTAGCTAAGTATACCTAGAATGTCTTTGAAAGTTTTTTTGTCATAATAAGTTCTTAAGGTAAATTTGTTAATATTTTTGAAATTATCTTTTTAAATAGACTTAATAGCCTTCAAGTTTGGGTTTCAAGCTATTAAAGCAGAATTCAATGGGTTACTTTTTGTCTTACTCTACCCTGCTTCCCTAGCCACTGACTTCTTTATTACCTTGCCTCTACTTTTCAAACCCAGCGGCCCCGTCATCATTTTTCTGTCTGTTGTTTCTTTGATTTTGGCTCAAATCAAAGTTTATTGGTGTAAAGCAGTCATGGATATCAAGACTCCCAAGCCAATCATACTTCTCTTGCTTTATTTTTTGTTATTTCTATTTGTGTTCTCAAAATTTTAGGTTAGGACGGTGCCTTTACCTCCATCGCTTCCTTAATGGCAATGTCATCCTATGTTTTCATTTGGTTTTGTTCTGAATTTTTAGTGCATATCGCTCTGTGCGAATAACAAGTTATTTTTTTCATAGCTGGCCGCATTCTATATGTATTTCCACGAATTGAAGGCATCTCTTTATGGAACATGACATGAGGGGGTTGAGTCTTGTCCGTGTTTCATAATCAGCTATTATTGATGACATCGTGTTGTTTTTCTGTGCATTCTTCAGCCCTTCAATACAAAATTGGCATGTAGCGTCTAGCAGTGTTGCTTCTTACCTGGGAGGATGAATGACCATGGATCATTGTGATGAAATTATAGGGAAAGATCACTTAAATGTTTTACTATAAGTTGTCAGTTTGATGAGGTCAGTCGATCAACAGAAGAAAATCTTTTAAGGGCCTAAATATAGATAATCTGATGAGATCTGTTTCAGAGCAATGGTATTTCCCATAGTTCGGCAGGAAAACTCCCGGCTAGGCAGCTGTCTCCCAATTTTTGTTTAAAAAAAAAAACTTTTGTAATTTTATTTTTCTGTTTTGAATACGTGTTTCCTCTAATTAGTTCTGTTTGATAATATAAAAAATAAAGGTTTCTGCTATGAATCTCGAACGAACCCAACCATTTGCATTAGTTTCACGTCCATGTCCGACTTGGACACAACTCCGAATACATGTCGGATGCTACCTTATACAGCAAAAAGAATCATTTTTGTATGGACAAGGCGACTGGCACTAAAAATTCAAAACAAGAAAAAAAAACTACTGGCATTGATGAAGCTATGTGACAGTGGCACAGCCATGACATGAAATTTGGATATCGCAAACAAAAATAACAAATATAAAGGGAGAGAAGTAAGGTTTTACTGGCTGTCGTGGTATTCATGGCTGCTTTATTCTAATAATTTTAATTTAAGCTTAAACTAGAGAGCTAAGGAGAGAGGAAAAGAGAATGCGGTGGCTCAAGGAGTGGGTTTAGAAAGAGAAGAAGGTAGGTTACTGAAAAAGTCTGTGGCTAGGGAATTAGGGGTGAAGTAAAGACAAGAAATAATTAATTAAATTTAATTAAAATATATTGGATATACTTTTTTAAATTTCCGTATCCTTGTTGTGTTGTATCCTAATTGTTTTAAAAAATCCCATGTCGCCATTTTCGTATTATGTTGTAGCTTATCCCGTGTTCATGTTGGTGCTTCATAGGTTTTGTACGTTTTCTTGGTGGCTTTCAGCAGTCTTATTTATTTTGCTTATTTTCCAAGGCGGGTGACACCGGGTTCTCGACAGGCACAGCTAAGAAGGCGAAAATGATGTGATTGGTTGTGCTAAGCCACTTTTAAGGGAGTCGTTAAGGTGTTCTAATATTGTATCGGCCAAGAAAGAAAAAGTTATTGAGCATATAAACTGTTATAATGAATAAATTTATAGATTTATTTTAAATATTATTAATTTTTTATTTAAATACGATTAATTATTTAATAAATTTATTTATTTAAAAAAAAATTTAAACCTGATGAATATCTTTAAAATAAAAATTTTAGTCCATGAAATTAAAATAAATTTTGAAAATACGATTATATGTAAAAAAAAATATAATATATTATAACATCTATTTAAAAATGATAATTAATTTAATTTTGTTTTATTCAAATTTTAAAAAAAAATCTTATAATATAATTAATTATTAAAAATTATTCTTAATTTATTTTAATATTTTAATAATAAATTAAAAAAATCTTTTTATCTCAAGATTATACAAAAAAATAAATTTTTTATAGAGATTTTATCATTGAATTATTTAACATGTCTTATTTTATACATTTTGAAAAAATTAGATTTCAAAGAATTTTTGATATTCTAATTTTTCATTAAAAATCTCGAAATTAATTTTAAAAAATTTTGATATTTTAATTTTTCTTTAAATCTTTTAAAATTATTTTTTAGGAAAGATTAATATTTTAATTCTTTCTTTTAATTTTTTTAAGAATTATTTTTGTTTTAAAGAAAAAATTAATAATTCAACTTTTTTAAAAAAATTAAATAGAAAATTTAATATTTAAATAAAAATTGATATTTTAATTTTTTTTCTTGATTTTGTTTAGAGAAAAATATAATATTTTAATTTTTTCACAAATTTTAAAAATATATTTTATTTTAAAAAAATTAATATTTTAATTTTTTCTCAATTTTTAAAAAAAAATTATTTAAGAAAAAATTGATATTTTAACTTTTTTTTTTCAAATGTTGGAAATTATTTTCTTTAGAAGAAAATTTGATATTTTAATTTTTTCTTCCAAATTTTTTGAAATTTTATTTTAAAAAAATTAATAGTTTAACTTTTTCTTAAATTTTTAAAAAATTTTATTCAAAAAAAATAAATAAATAAAAAGAAACATATAAAAATATTAAATTAATAAATAAATTTAAAAAATCAAAGATGCCTTGGCTCGGCTCAAGAATCTACTCAGTGACTCGATTGCAGACTCAAGGAACGGCTCGCGGCTCGGCTTGGTACCTGCCGCTGTGTATAAATGGTATCAGAGCCAGGTTTGAAAGGGTGGTTTGTCTTTCTTAGGATAAATGACATAATAGTCAAACTTTCCTGAGGGTTCACCAAGGAGATCAACTTCAGAGTCTCCATTTTCATATCTTTCTTTGAGCTTTTGCTGAGAAGACTTTTTCTTCTTTTGCTTCTTTGGAATATCATCATCATCATCATCCAAGAAGCTTTTATCTGCATCGATCTGGCATTCTTTGCATTGACAATTTATGTCCCAATAGCAATGTCCTGTTGGAGATTTATATGCATACATGGGATTTCCATTAGACTGAAAGTGTGTGACTGGAACATCAAGGAGATCAGCATGGCATCTTTGCATTATAAACTGTGTTGGAAAGATTGTTGGAGGAGGAACATCCTTTCCTTTGCTGTGATCAAATTCAATTGTGACAGTACCATCCTGGTTTGTCTTGTAGGTTGGATCAAAGTGTTCAATTGGCTCATCGTGTTTCCAAATCTTTTGATAAGTTGTCGTCCACGTCTTTGGGAGAAGGGTGGCAAGTTCTTCATTGGAAATCTGTTTTGGAATATGAACATGTTTGGGAGTTCTGTCTGCTGTTTCCATTTTAACAAAAACTGCATCACTGGAGTGTAAAAGAGGCAAGTTAATGGCATGATCTTGAACTCTGTATGCCTTTAAAGATCTAGTAAGAGAAAGAGAGGAGTTTGAGAAAGCTGTATAAGGATTTACAAGAGGTAAGACTATTTTTTGGGTTTTCTTTTCTTCTGGAATATAATCTACTTCATATAAGAACTTAAGCTTAGAAGAGGAGGACTTTTTAAGTACAGGAGAGGGAGGAGAGGATAGACTAAAAGAAGATCTAGAGGAAGAAGATGGTTGAGAACTAGAGTTGCTAAGAGTGGATAGATCCATGAAAGTAAGACTCTCTTTTGGCTTTTCTTTTTTCAATTTTCCAATAATCAAATCTTTAGAAACATACTTCTCTTCTCACTATCTTGGCAAGTTGTTAGCTCTGATACCATTTATACACATTTATACACAGCGGCAGGTAGTACGGCCAAGTGAGTGTGTAGTTTTTGGATGTATTCTGGAGGTTACCACCACCATGGTTCTTTCTTGAAAGGAGAAAGTTCTGCAGGGACTGGGAGGTTGTTGATTTTACAGAGTCTTTTTAACAGGAGCTTGTATTCATGAGCATAGAGAAAGATAGAGTTGTACAGAGAGTAGGGATTACACACATACATGTCTGAACGGGGTTGAAAGAAAACATAATTTCAGAAAGGTACAAGGTCGGTGGAAGAAGAAGATAACATGGTAATGGGAAGAAAGTGTTGGGTGAGAGAAAACCAAGTATGGAGGGATTTAAACCACTTCAAAAAGGTTCCTAAATGAACATGAGCTTCATAAAGGAAGTCATTATTAGTGAAAGTGATTGTGGCAAAGTTGAGTTCAAAAGAGTTAAACTCAATGGCAATGGTGTAGAGTTGGCATAAATACCATAAAAGAACTAAGGCTTCTTTGAATAAACTGAGGTATGAGGGATCTGAAACAGGTGTAGAAAAGGGAACTGAGGATGAAAACCAATGGGTCTGAGACCATGATCACCGCGTT